CATCTCCATAACCACTGAGTCGCTGGAGGGAAGCAGGTTGCGCAGGTAGTTGGCAAAACGGCTGATACGGGTGGCATTTCCCCCTTCCACACCAATCAAACTCACTGGAGAAACAGCCATTAAAAAATGATTAAAAAAATGCATCCAACAAAGCAATACAATGGTGACAAGTCACTTTCAATGGAAAATTATAGGTATATCTGGCAAAATAGAAACATAAGGCCACATTAGTTTACATGTTGATTAAAAATAACAATATATAGTAGACAGCAATTGTCATTGGGTTAATACTCACCTATGGCCAGGATACCACCTTTTTTCTCATTCACATCTGAGCTGGAAACCAACTCGAATATGTGGTGGTTCAGCTCGTCGTAGAAGGTGGTGGCTTCATCTTGGCTCAGCTTGAGTCAGAAGCAAAAACACTGCTCACTAAACATGACTCTTCCTAGTACTTTATATTTATGTATACTTTAATGTATGTCTGTCAAGTGATTACAAAATTTCAGTTAAACACTGTAAATGATGCACTCATGTAATCAATCACAAATTACCGCACATGTTATTTATTATTTACTAGGTAAAGCCCACAAATGTAGATAATTCAAAGACCGATGTCACATAGGTGCTACTACAGGCAGTGTAAAGCTGGACTGATTGCGGACTTGCAAATAGATATTTTGCAACTCCCTGTAATTAAGATGTTTTTGATGATTGAATCACAAGTGGTCAGCACTAAATACAGGTGGAAACGGGATCTAAAACACTTTGCGATCAGATCACTGAAACCATCTGTGTCAATACTGGATCTGTGCATTAGGTTGCCTAATATACCTGATGTTATCTGTCATTAATATTAATATTCAAACTAACAAAGAGTGAATACATTTTGTAGGTTTAATGTGCAATTAATCTATATTTAATATATACAGTGAAGACTGTGCAGTTTTATTTTACATTTGATAATAGATAAATTATTGATTAATTTCTGTAGTATTTCTTTCCTGAATACTACTGTTGGACCTAACTACAAAGCACCATTTATTTAATTTGTACTGTATCTTTGTTTGTTCTTACTATATTTATTTGTGCTATTTCTTGTAAAATATTTTATTTAATACTGATTTTTTTTGTCATTAATAAGGTTTTAACTTTATATTGGTTAGGTTTTGCTGTGGTACTGAAATAGAAATTGTGGAATTTCACTGGTGTCTATCTAGGTGTGTGGTCATGCACATGCTGTTATGCTTCCATTCTTCTAGTGTATATACTGTAAACATGTTTCCTTTCTTGTTTGTTTAAACACATTGCAGGACAAAATAACTTCAGTTAATTGTCAGTCACAGGTGTGGTAATAAGACATTACATTTAGGCAAAAGATATATAGAAATTACTTGTCAAAGCTATGCTTTTGACTCTCCTGATGAAGCTTAACGATGTAAATATTTGGATCAAGGATAAAAGTAGTACAGTTTACCTCTCTTAGTTCTGTGGTGACATAATGCTGGAGGTCTTTGGCAGCTTTGGCACGTGTGTCTTCATTTCGACTCTTAAGGCCACTCACAAACTGCTGCAGGACTGTAGCAGTGCCAGACATGCTGGCGGCTGGGACGCAGCTGCCTGTAGATTTGCCTGCAATTCAAACACTCTGTAAGATGATCAGATTAAATGATGATCTCGATTTCCAGATGCCAATAAACCTCTTTTACTATACTTTAGAAATTAAGAAACAATTTTACATTCAGTATCCCTTTATGAAAAATATGCATATTTTATCAGGCAATTCCATAATGCCATGAAAAGTATTATGACGACATACCGTCAAAAAATAGTGAAGTGGGAGTTTTCTGTTATTCTGTACTTTACTTAATGGTGATAATGTAATTTTACATACTCTAAATGTGCTGATGCCAGAATATACAGAAGCATCTAAAGACCCACCTCCACCTATTTAAAACGACACTGTTTCCTTAAAAGGCACTCCAATAAAACAAGAAGAATTACACACTGTCATTATTGGACAAAATGAATAAAGTGTTCACACTGTAACAAAGGTCATTCAGTTAGTTACAATGTATAACAGCATTATATATGCTAATGGGAACAGTTAAAGTTTTCAGCTCAGATCTACTACACCGCACCATACCCATTAAATGGATAAACAGACAAATGAAGCAGCTTGCAATTATTAGTGATTCAGTGCCTCAAAAGTGTCTTGATCTAGGATTTAACCTACAATCATTTTACAGCTTACAGCTCGGATCTTAACCCCGACTGAATACAGGCATTTTTTATCATTTTTAATGAATGCTCAGCAGTTCCTACCTCTGATAAAAATAAGAGAAAAGCATGTAGATCAGAGTTATTCGTGAGAATAATAGAAAAACACAATAACAGCACATATAGCGGATGAATCGATAGATAGATTAACGTTAGTTAGCCATAGATGCTACCTACAGCTACAGTCGGGTTACTTTAGCAAGTGCTTATCAACTGCTTACGTAATATCAAACAGAACATTTTAATGGATTACATGTATTTAGAAATGCAGTATTTACAAAATCAGTATTTACTTGAGTTGAGGGTTTTCCACTAGATGCTATGCACTCGTGAAACTGCAGACACAGAGGGCGGGCACAACCTTTGAGTGACGTCCCATCCGCCAATAGACAATCACTTTGAAACGCTCGACTGTAGAGTTTAACCAATCATCCGCTCAGACGGAAGCGTCTCAAGCAGGAAAGAAACATGGGGTGAATTCCAATTCACGTACAAGCACTACGCACTAAAAATGTCGTATAACACTGGTAATGCCATAGAAATACGGTAAGATTATAAACCAGTACGCTTAGTGTTTGACTCATAAAATATAAAGAAGAGTGGCTTACCGGCCCGAAAGTTTAATGGGAGGTGTCTAAATAATATCCTATAATAAATATTTTACCTAGAGAGGTTTATTTTAATTGTCATTATTCAGGTGTAAAATTATAGTCCAGACGGCATATTCACGTGGTAACGTTACTTGTTACTTTTCTCAGTGCTGGTTAGGACGGACCAATCTTTGAAATCAAATCACTTTTGGGAACATTAAAAATTACTAAATAAACCTCATAATGAAGAACTAACTATCCAGAATAGAGATCAACCTTATACAAAGCACTACACAACAAACTATGTCTTTTAAAGTCAATTGTCAAAGATCAGAACCCTTTGGACTCTCCTATTAAACTATCAAACAAAATATAAACCCTAAAATCTCCAAAAGCTTGTTGTATTGACACCATCCTAAACAAAATTATTAAATACACAGACTACAATTTTAAATTGACCATCCTAACATTTAAAAAAAAAATCATCCTCAGTGCAGGTGTATTTCCCACAATCTGGAGCCATGGCCTCATTACTGGAACTATTACCCCTATTTATAAAAGCGGAGACAAATTCAACCCCAACAACTGCCATGGTTTATGTATTTAAACCATAGGTAATCTTTTCTGCAACATCCACGTCCAGACGGCATATTCACGTGGTAACGTTACTTGTTACTTTTCTCAGTGCTGGTTAGGACGGACCAATCTTTGAAATCAAATCACTTTTGGGAACATTAAAAATTACTAAATAAACCTCATAATGAAGAACTAACTATCCAGAATAGAGATCAACCTTATACAAAGCACTACACAACAAACTATGTCTTTTAAAGTCAATTGTCAAAGATCAGAACCCTTTGGACTCTCCTATTAAACTATCAAACAAAATATAAACCCTAAAATCTCCAAAAGCTTGTTGTATTGACACCATCCTAAACAAAATTATTAAATACACAGACTACAATTTTAAATTGACCATCCTAACATTTAAAAAAAAAAATCATCCTCAGTGCAGGTGTATTTCCCACAATCTGGAGCCATGGCCTCATTACTGGAACTATTACCCCTATTTATAAAAGCGGAGACAAATTCAACCCCAACAACTGCCATGGTTTATGTATTTAAACCATAGGTAATCTTTTCTGCAACATCCATTGGCTTCCAACCAAAATATTTCACACCAGACCATACACTGTGCATGCACTAAATGACAAGCAAATTAACCAGAATCTTCTCATGCTTTGTTGATTTAAAAAAGTTATGATTTAGTTTGGCATGAAGGATATTTACTTAAGTTGATTCAGTGCAATGTCAGAGGAAAACTATAGAACGTTATCAAATCAATATGCACAACAATTTTTTTTAATACAAAGATTTCCTCCCTCAGAGTCCTGGAGTAAGGCAGGGCTACACCCTATTCAATAATATATAAATCAATGAACAAGCAAGGGCTCTGGAACACTCTGAAGCACCCAGTCTTACTCTATTAGACACTTAAGTCAAATACCTTCTGTTTATAACCTGGCTCTGTCAGTTAACTGCAAAAAGTCTAAAATAATGATATTCTGAAAATAAATAAATAAACAATTACTTACAGATGGCAAGACCAATATCATAACTTCACATTAGAAAACATTTCCCTTTAACACACTCAGAACTACACATATCTTGGTATAAAGTTTAAACATCAGCAACAAGATTGTCAACAATCTGAGAGAATCAGAATCTAGCTAAAACTAATTAAGTTAGTTATAAAACCCCCAATCAGACCAGTGTATTAAAAAACAAAAATAAGACACTGGACAGAAGCAACAGCTCAACAAAATAAATTAGAATGTTATCTGTCCCTAAACGACATAAACATAAATTGGACAAGAACAACCAACCAAATAAATACACAATAAATTAATAAATAAAATCTGTAATTTGTGCCTTTTTCTTCTCATTGTTATTATTTTATAAAACATTTGTGTGTGTGTGAAAATGTGTATGTCTGTAATTTAATGTTACCAAATGCTATTGCAAAGTAAAGCCATTTTACCATGGTTCTTGAATCCAATAATCTTGATCAATTTGAAAACTCGCGCGGTGTCTTCCAAATAAATCCATGTAAATCTCGCGAGAGTTTTGCGTAGGACGGTTACCTTACAGAACCGATTGCGAAGTTTAGCTCTTCGGTTTTGTTCAGCTGCTCAAATGACACTATTAAAGTGTCAGCATTGTGTTAGAGAGGATAAAGCAGCAGAGGACACAGATCATGTGGAGGTTTGTAGGTATTCATATTATTAGCAGCTGCTGTTTTAAAGAGCGAGGCCTGAGTTTGTGTTGTGTGAGCTAGTTGGCTAACGTTAGCACAGCTGACACGATTCATTATTATAATATTTACCTTTAGCGTTAACATTATACAGCTCGATAGCCAATTAAATTCATGTTTTAACAAAAGAAAGTCTTGCTGATCAGTATGAATCTATACCATAGTTATAGCATAGTTATTATACCATTGTATTTATAAAAACCGTAGTTAATACCTTTAGATAAAACCATGTGGCTCTTCAATGCAACTGTTTTTTCTATAAAATATGTTATGAAACATAAACGGAAAAGGTCTAAACACATGGAGAGCCAATCACCACTGCTGCCATAGTGAAAATGAGACATATTATGCTATAATTCTTGCTGCAAAAATACAAGTTACTAAAGCTACCCAGTGGGCAATTTATGTTGAAAAGACATCAAATTGACATCAAAATGTACGTCAAAAAACAGGTCAAATATGCGAATCAAACTGATGTCAAAAACTTGACATGCCGTTGATTTGATGTAAATTGAACGTCAAACATATTGGCCAACATATAGATTAAACCAATTTCAGTGTGGGATCAACTTCTTATTTTCACCCAATTACCACTGGAAGAATTTGCCGTCCAAACTGAATTTAAAACATTTTGTTTTATATATATATATATATACAGACACAGACACACATACACAAACACGCACACACACAGGTTTGTTTTTATGGTTTATGGGGACTCTCCATAGGCGTAATGGTTTTTATACTGTACAGACCGTATATTCTATTGCCCTACACCAACCCTACCCCTAAACCTACCCCTCACAGGAAACTTTCTGCATTTTTAGATTTTCAAAAAAACTCATTCTGAATTATTTATAAGCCTTTTGAATTACGGGGACACTGAAAATGTCCTCATAAATCACCTTCTCGTTGTAATACCTATGTCATACCCATGTTATTATACAAATTTGTGTCCTCATAAACCACATAAACATGCACACACACACATATATACTATATATATATATATATATATATATATATACACACACACACACACACACACACACACACACACCATTGTTTTCAATGTGAAATTATTTTCATGACAATTAAGAATATTTTCCCTCAAATTGTCATTAATGTGAATATTGACTTAATCTTTCAGTTGTAAAGTAGGCCTACACTGCCTGGCAAAAAGTCTCTGTTAGGTACAATACTTTTAGGTACAAATAGATTTTATGATTAAATCGTTATTGTAGTGATTAAAATGTTTCTGGTCACAATTATTTAACCCTAACTGATGCAGTTTGTAGATTTTTATTTTTCGAACAACAATGTCAGATGTACCCATATCCATATTCCAGGATGACAATGTTAAGATTCATCAGGCTCAAATTGTGAAAGATTGGTCACCATAGAGTCCTGACCTCAACCCCATTGAAAGTCTTTGGGATGTGCTGGAGTAGACTTTACACTGCCTGTCCAAAAAACACACTCTCTAATATTTAATTGGACTGCCTTTAGCTTTGATAACATTGTGTTATTTTGTTGTGGCATTGTTTCGACAATGTTATGCAATATTACATCACAGTGATTATTTCTATCAAGAGTTGCATTAATTTATGGCCAAGATCTTGTATTGACAATGGGAAAGTAAAGCCACTAAAGTCGACTCTAGCACATCCCAAAGACTTTAAATAAAGCTCAGGTCTCCGGTGTGGCCAATTCATACATGAAAATGATTCCTCATGCTCACTAAATCACTGTTTCACAATTTGGGTCCAGTGAATCTTGACATTGTCATTCTGGAATATGGATATGGGTACATATTCCAACATGGTGGTTTAAGAAATGAGAAGCTTCACACTGCATCAGTTAGGGTTAAAAGAATTGTTGCAAAACATATAACCAGAATATGCCAGAAACATATTAATCACTGCAATAATGATGCAATCCTAGACTCTTCAGTATTTATTTATTTAAATTCAAATGGCAACTTTTTTTGTTTTGTTTTGTTTGTTTGTTTGTTTGTTTTTGGCCAGACAGTGTATAATACATCATTTTAGCATTTGCTGTACTGCATTGAGTTATGCTGATTTAAACACAAATTTATTGTACTGCATTATTTTAAAAACACATTATTACAGTCAAATTTAATGCAAATCATCTTAAGAACAATGAGAATTACAAAACCTTCAAAAAAAGCATCTTGATGCACTACAGTAAATTGTTTAGGGATGAAATGTGCTTAATTGGCATCAATATGTCAGTCACAATACAAATAAAATTGAAAGTGACAGAGCAATAAAATCTTTAGAATTTGTGGTGAGATGTGACTTGGTTCTTGTGAGATTGAGTGTGTGTTTTATTAACTGACCATTTTCATGGCAGAAAATCTTGCCACCCGGCTACAGTCATCTACTTTGTCATCATGAACTGCTGGAAATGTCGGGGGATATTGAAAACTTCAGAGCGGCTCTTAAATTGCAGATGACTACTGAGGAGCAGGTCCAGAAGTGGTTGGAGGACTTCCAGAAGTCCTCAGCTTTAACATGGAGGAAATCCAGGACATACCCTGACTCTGGACGCTACAACAAATACAGAGTAAGACCAGCCTGTTTATGTACACTTTAAAGGCAACATAATATCAAAATTGAGTCTGTATACCTTTCATAATAGACTTGCCTGTTCTTATTGCGCGCAATTCATCAGTGTAATAACATTCTCTAAAATTACTTTCTTTGTTGAATCATCAAGCCACCTTGGCTAAGCAGACTCTTGGTTAATGTAAAGCTTTGACCATAGTTATTGTAATAAAGAGAAATTTAGTGATGATTAACGAAAATTTAATAATGGTTGCATGATTAATAGCAAAGATGTTTTGGAAAAAAAGTGAATAAATGTTCAGTATTGAAATTTTGAGAGCTTGCGTATATTCAGGTGGATCTGAGATGCCAGCACAAAACATACAGTTCATCATCCAAGACAACCAAAAATACCAACTGCCCTGCCACCATGTTTCTGATTCTCAAGAGATTTATGTATGAAAGAAAGTCCAGGTGAGACCAAAACAAGACCAAGGTAGTGTACTATAAATACAATACAATTCAATTCATCTTGAACACCCAAATGTTTTGCATTAAATGCATTAAAACATAATACTTCATCTATCCTTCCACAGATCAGGAGACCCACACCTTGAAGAGGGCTATTTCCTTCATGTGAACTTGAGGAATGAACATAATCATAGACTGAACACAGCTGAGGCCATGAGGTGGAGAGATGTGTCGAATGACACCATTGAAAAGCTACAACAGCTCTACAAAAGTGGTCACTCTCCTTCATCTGCACTCAAGAATATTAAATACAGCCTGCAGGAAGAGGAAGGCGATAACTACATTTACGCTACTGCGGATCGATCCATCTGCCCAGACCTTCAGTTTTGCTACAGGTCAGTCAAACTAGTTCAAAACACGTGTTTCAAACTCGTAAAAAATCTTTGTAATAATTCCATTCATGTTTATTTCACACATTATTGGAAAAAGTTTTACACATAATTTTGTTTAATGATTTAAAAAAAATGTCAAGAGGTGAACGATCACGTAAAAAATCATTTGATATATTTAATCCTAAATATTGTGATGTTTCTAAAGGATTTTATCATTTGATAAACTGAATTTAAACTGAACCTTAAGAAGACAATATATATGAAATTTTTAAAAGATTTACTGATTTGACACAGTCATAATCCTCCCTGTGATGCCATTTATGGATTTGTACATTTTGGTCACATGATGCTGAGTTTGAATTTGATTTTATGGACAAAGGTTTTC